AATTATGGAATTAATTATTACTTGCAGTGCAGCACGAACATAAAGAGGCTCTGAACTGAATAAAGCATGTATTGAAAATACTGTACAGGAGGATTTTACAGCAGGGAAATACATGTTAGACCTCGACCTAGCCCACACTTCTGAAGACAATATCTCTAATACACATTATTGCCTTTTCTGGACTGCTTGATTACCCCGACACCTCTCCATTCAAACAGAGTCTGAGATTGTCATTGACATTGATTGGATGTCTTCGCACTTTGTATAATGTACTCTTCTTCCCGGGCTTGATCCAACAACTCATTGCCTGAAATGTGTCTTTTTTTACTCAGCAAATGTGATTATACTCTGCCTGATATTGAAATTCACAACAACACCAACAATATGGCTATGATTGTTCTGTCGATGGGTTCATGAGGGAAGACGACGTTGAAAGGGAAGGTGATTGGTACATGGTCAAAAACTAAAGAATATACATGTGTAACTGTCAGTGCATTGATAGGAATTATTTGGACATGAAGTGGTTTGATTGACTTTTTTGTGTACCCAATTCCCTTTATCCTGATTTGTGTACTTCAATTTCAAGTATTGATATCCGGCATTACCACGAATGACTTTCACCAATCCCCAGAGAATGTGTGTGAACTGTTTGAGTTCAGAGAGGCAGAAAGAAAGAGAAGTAGTGGAAATAATTGCTTGGTGAAATGAGAGTCCCAGTAGTGTCTGTGTTGCATTCTGGCCAACTGGTTCTGCCATCAGTGATCACTTCCTTCTTATTGTTCATGATTTGAAAATGAATGTCCAATCTGTAGAGAATACCCTCACCAAACATGTGCTGCTAATCTCCCATTGTTCTGCTACCACGCTCTATTGTAGATGTGCCAGATACATCTCCAATAACTCCTGTTTATTGGTCTTTATGTTTTTCACTGTGGCTTTTCAAATGATTGTTTGATGTGCCAACAGGGGGCATTATGCACAGCTGGAAAACAGCCCAAGTGACTGGTCAGTCCAGAATAGTACAAGGAAAATAATTGGCTCTGTGTTGAGTAAGTTGCATCATACATGGTTTAGCCAGTTTCCCATAAATCCTGTATGCAGTACTCGTACAGTTGTTAGTCCTTAGTGTCATTAATGCCTTTTAAAGAGGATTTGAAATTGTAGCTATTGTCTTTTTTTTGTCGAGGCAAAGATATGCATTTGAAGAATTTCCATATAGACCGTCTTTAGCGTCAGGCCTTCAGCATTTAATTTGTTATCTTCTCTTTGTGATTACAGTCGTCATTGCGGAGGTAAACTGGTTTGGACTGTTGTGTTATGCATGGATATTATTGTCATGCCTCTGAATCATAATCTACTGTTACAATACATATTTACATAAATAGTATTTACATTAAACTATGACGATAAACATTTTTTTTGTCAAATAAATCAGTATTATCAGTCCTGATTAGTCAATTAGGCTAATTCATATTACCTGTTGGTACAAAGAGATGAGATGTTATGGGGCAGAGGTGAACTAAATGTGGGGTGAAGCGGCTGTTGGATCAAATTGGGTGATGAAAGTGAAAACGTTATTTGTCCTTTTTCTCGTAACACTCCACATTCTCACCGTGGAGTATGCTTTAGTTTATGTTGCCAATCTAAACACATCACTTTTTCTGGCTAGAACCATAAAAGGAGGGATAGCCCTCAGGGCAGCTCAAACATGTGTGCCAATTTCAATGTTTTCTTTAATTACTTAAACTGACTGCTTGAGCACTGTTGTATTTCTGATCCAAGGTGAAAACAGCCATTCTGCAGTCAGTTACTAATTAAGAAGAATCTAGAGGGAGATCCTTAAAGCCCTCTGCATATTACATTAAGCTGCTCATTGTTATTCTATACCTGATTTGAATTAAGAATAGTAGAAACCCAACTGTTTGATGTAAGGGCATGTGCATGTGAAGTCTGCGGCGTAGCAGACAGTCGTAACGCCTGTACCTAGCTCTCTGCGGAACAATTCCTTTCTACTAATCTCCATCCAGTGATGGACACATTTATTCATTAGCATTCATATGATTATAAGCTCTGTTGGCAAAGCCATGCAGATGATGTAGGGTTTGGTGAATCTACTAAACCACAATTCACAAAGAAGGCATGGTGCCACAAATGTTAACCTCTTTATTTTTTAAGCAAAATGTTCTTTTCAAGCATAATACAATGAGTCACCTTTTCCTCTCATTTATGCCTTTTTGAAATGAACAAAGAAACTGCTACCGTTAGCCATTCGTGTGCGCTGACCACTGAGACATTATTGCTCTCCTGCAATCATTTGGCCTCTTCACACTCTGGTAATAAGTGTTGAGATTGGCAGAACAGCACTCCTGTTCAATACGTGGTGCTGAGCAAGGGTGTGGAAAATGAAGCTCCCATCAGGTCGATTTAAATGGAGAATTGTGATTAATTGGAATCGATAGTGTTGGCTTGGACACCCACCATTTCCCAATCTACAATGTACTGCCTTAACCCAACCATGCTCAATGTGTATGTACACTTAACAAACACCCACACATATTCAAACATCATAACACGCATTCACTTCATGCCTTTGTGAATTAGAATACACACACACACACACACACACACACACACACACACACACACACACACACACACACACACACACACACACACACACACACACACACACACACACACACACACATACACACACACATACACACACACACATCCTTAAGACACCGCAACCTGATGAACTCAGCCTGATGGGATGCGAGGGGCCTGCAGGAACAAAGGATTAGTCGATTGAGAGCAGGAGTCACCGCAAACTTAGACAGAAAGTGCTCGCAACACCTGCAGTTGTGAGGGCGAAGATGTTTCTCTCCTCTCTGCAAATGATCACTTCATGTGGAACTAAATTGGCTTTTCATGTCTGCTGATTACTCCTCCCAGTTTTTCCATTGTCCTCTTTGGGCAGAATGTGAAGTCACAAGATGTTACACAAACTCATAGTTTTATCTCGCTATTGGATCTTAGGCGCATTAATTCATGGTCCTCAGCCTTATCCTTTGCAATGTTATTGTTCCATGAGACGGAGCACCTCCTGAAGTGTTACGTTTCAGTTAAAGCTAGGTTAAATGTCAGTTTGTTTAGAGCTTACTTACAAAGTTTTCATTGTGCTTTGTGGACGCAGTGTAAGATAATCTATTTCTTTGTCTGTCAATGTTTGTTGGGAAGGACTAGACAAACATATCAGCTAGCACGCAAACATACCTCACGAAAGATCACAACAGTACAAACCTTAAAGACTTCAGCTAATCATCGTATACTCCGTCCTTTATTTAATATGAGCTAACAGCCACCCTGTGATGTCCACCTATTAATAAATGAAGTACATCAATACGTCCCTCCTTAACATCTGAGCACCCTTACTATCAAAGTTGAGGGAGACGTATACACAACACTATATATGGTTTTGCACTCACAGAAGTTGTGAATATCATCAAGAAAATATCATTAATTTCTGTGAAAGATAAGGAATCTCCTTCTCGCACATGAAGACGATGTGTGAGCATAATCTACAAAACGTGCATTTCATTTTTTTTTTAAACAGTGTTTTTCTTCATGAATTTCTATTGAAAGCCTGATATATATCCCAGAATTCCTCCTTAAATTGATGAGACTGATTACTCACCCTGCACTACAGCTGCTAATCATAATAATTTGATTCGCTGGGGAGCTCAGTAATCTAAATGATTCAGCTCAGGCTTTTTTTTCTACCCTTGTATGATTTTACAGTCGGAGATTGGCAGCTCTGATACAAACATATCAGTACTGGAATCAGCTAAACCCATATTAGCCAAACTATTGTGTGGAGGTATTCTCAGAAAAGATGTGTGCATTGGCCCGGGCCAGACGAGAGTCTATAGCTGTTGGGGCCTTATCTTAAAGTGTGATTTACCCTGGAGCCATTATTGGCAGGGGATTTAAAATGGCTGTCTGTATGTGAGTGAGGGCAGAGACGACAAATCATCACTCGTCACTTCCTGAGTAACAACACAGTTACAGCAGAAAAACTTGCACTCATGAATAGATAAACAAACATTAAAAACCCTATTTTCCCCATCCTCCATAGTCTCACATTGGTACCCACTCATTTCTCTTTTATACACACGTTACCAAGGAGACAACTTCAGTCTGCCCAAAAACTCCAGAGGCCCTATATGGTAATAACACAACATGATACTCTTTACATTGTGGACGGAGTGGCCTTCTTACTTTTTTTTTTTAAACTCTTCCTTCTTCACTAATAAAGCCAAGAATACAATTTGCAGTTCACACATTGTAATTTGTTTTTAATTGAAGCCATTGTTTGCGATTGTTATGAACGTGGCCCACGAGTGTTGGTTTCAGATCAATGGTTTCAAACGCAGGAAATAATTATTTTGCGTTGAGATGAAAGTCTGGGTACTGCACCACAAACAGCCTGTGGATCCAGCCTTTTTTAATTAGTGCTCTGTGTCTCCTGCTCTGCGTGGCACATTAACATCGCGGATAAGTGTTTGTGCTGTGCAACTGTGTGTGGGAGGTTGTGTGTGTGCATTAGGATACCAGAGGTCGGGGTTGGGTGTGGGTTGCACATTCTGGCCCCTAAGATCTATCCTGGAAATGGATTGCAACATGCTACTTCCAGTCCTCTGTTATGTTTCACAGATCTGAAGATTAGATCTTGTCATAGTTTAAAACAGACACTCCAAGTTTGTCTAATTTCCCTCGCTGCTGTGTCAAAGGTCCCAGATCAGTCGGCTTAGTAAGGCTTTCTTTAAATGCCCAAATTCCTTTGCTCTTTAAGATGCTGATGCTGAGATACTGAAATCACCTTTTCAGGACCTTTAAACACCTAAAATACCTCTGAAATGTTTCAAAAATACTTTCTATTCTCCTGACATTGGAAGTAAGTGCTGGTTTTACATCTGTGTCTCTTCGCTGTCTTGCAGGGATGCCGCGGTTCGCCAGCCAGCCAACTCCGACCACTGTGCATCTAGGGAACAACCAGGTGATGGCGTGTGAGGTCAACTCAGAACTGATACCCTTCACCAGGTGGGAGAAGGACCGCCTGCCCCTGGAGATGAGCTCAAGGCTGGTCCAGCTGCCCAGCGGAGCCCTGGTGATCAGCAACGCCTCGGAGGCAGACGCCGGCCTGTACCGCTGCATGGTGGAAAATGTGGGGTCGTCGAAGTCCAGCGACGAGGCCCAGCTCCAAGTAGTGCCAGGTAATTTGACCTGATACAGTTTAGAAATGTTGTCCTGTGACAATGGAGAGAAGTGAGTTTGTATTGCTAGGTGTAGAATAGCTTTAACACATCTACAGTAAATACAATTTTACATTCTGTTTTTAGCTCATCTTTCTATTTTACATGTATATATTTACTTCTTACGCATTTACCTATTTACACCTATTAAACTATTAAACACCGGAACTTTTGAAACAACATTCATCTGTTTGCGTCTTGCAAATTATTTATCTATCTATCGTATTCCATCTACTTGTATATAGACTTTTCTTGCACTATTTCTATTTTCTTTGTATTTACTTGCACATCTCAAAACATTCTCTTGCACTATTTTATCTGTTTTATTTGTTTTATGTCCGATATATATTCATGTTGCACTATTGGAGGAGCCTGGGACTTAAGTTTTTCATTGACATATCTACACTGTAGCTAATGTGCACATGACAATAAAGCCTTGAATTTAATTTAATTGAAACATGACAATAAATCCTTTGAAACCTTCAAACCTTGAATTGAAGTTGTAGAGCACTCGTTATTATTAAAATACAATTAGGTGCATCATTTACTTGTCAGCTTTGGCTTTCTCCCTACCTTTAGCATGAATAAATCTGCCCAACTGTAATGAGAGAAGGGTGAATGCCAAAAGGAGGGGTACGGCTCCCAGTGGGGTTATCAGTAATGCCGCAGTAACTCAGTTGCAGTTCAAAAGGGGGCTGAATTCCATTGTGGCAGTGTCTCGTCTCTCGCCTCTACAAGTTTTATTTACTGAGTTGTTAAGCACCAGGCTCCTGGCAGCACACAGAAGATATTAGAGGTCATAAATCAGACTACAACAAGACCCCAGTGGGGGTCTTTATCTCTGGATGACTCCTGCATGGATGTGTTGTTGAGTGGCAAAAGGCTGGATGCATTCCGACGGAAAACTCGTAAAGCTGTGTGAGGAAATTGAAAGACATTTTGTTTGGATGCATGCTGGCAGATGTTAGAGCGACATAAATACATTTATGGTTATTTGGTTTTCTTTCAAGTCGCAACAAATCAGCTTGAGAATAAAGTAACTTGGGCGTTTGCGGGGGAGACGTTTAGAGCAGGAGATGGGCTTGGAGAAGAATATTTTATACATTTCTGTTTCTGAACTTAAATCTTGGTTTAAGCTTTAGAGAATTATGATTTAAGATAATTTGATAGTGCTGAACTCATCTGTATGTGCTGTGGTCAAACATATACCCACACATACCCTGTGGTTATTGCTGGATGCAGTTAGTTGCAGCTGCAATTATATGGGATCACTTTGAAGTCCTAAAGAGCTGCGAGCTTGGCTGTCTCACACGTCAACATGGACATTATTCATCTGACCGGTCCTGGTTTGGGTGTCAGGACTGACTGGAGATCCTCTGAAGTTTATATGACAGATGACACCCGTCACGTAGAAGGTTTCTGCTCTGCTTCATTTACTCACCCCAACCTGATCCTCAGCCCTTAACCCTGACATTTTTTTTCACCATTTTAGAAACGGGAGAAGAGAGGAAACTGGAATTCCTGGTGCAGCCTGCAGCGATCTCTAAGGTTGTGGGGGCCAGCGTGCTGCTGCCCTGCGTTGTCATGGGTTACCCTGTGCCACACATTCGCTGGATGTTTGGAGACAAATTGCTGGAAGAAAGGTACGAGCATGAAATCCGTATTCATCATCTGAGGAATTAAAGAAGCCTTAAAGGTCCCCTATTATACTGTTTTTCATCAATATATTATAGGTCTCAGATATATACAAAACATGTCTGAAGTTTTTGGCTCGAAATACCAAACAGGTCATGCATTGTAGCATCCCATAATCCCCTCTGTTTCAGCCCTAGAGGAGGAGAACACATAACACATAACTCTGATGTGTTATTCAAACCAACCTTCAAAATCACATTTAGCTTTCACATTTAAATTGTTACCTAAAAAGATAGCCACAGCTGTGTTCCCTGGCTCTCACACATTCCTACCTTTTTAAAAAGCAACACAGACCATAATGTTCTGCTCCTTTGTACCCAGGGCCCCTTGTACCACAAGCTAACCTGTTAGTGCTGGCGCCTGCTCCCCAAGGTGTTAATGCTTTTCTGCCACTGCTACTCAGAAGCCTCAGAGGAGCCCGGATGTGCCAACAGAGCCCCTTCAGCTGGGAGACCAGGCTGCAGGGTAGCCAGCTGAGGGGAAGTTCACAAATTAAAAGTCGAGAGAGAGTTGTCACAGCGCCTGTGCGCTCACTTCTCTGGCTCTCATTAGCACGAGCAGAGCAGCTTAAATCCCCCAGAGAGAGTTGCAATGTGCTTGGGAAGTTTGATTCTCACCAATTAAGAAAGCACTTTGTTGACCTAAACTCTGTGTACCGATCCCGGAGAATAATAACTTTGCAACTTGTAGGGTCGACAGAAAGTAGCTGAAATAAGGCTCATTCCTCTAAATCCAGCCACACTATGGGATTTCTACCTTCAGTGAAATTAAATGTAAGGTCACCACATTAGCAACCACAATGGTCCTGTGGGGTGTGAGCTAGCATAACTTCTCCCAACCTTTAGTTACAAGCCCAGCACTACATCTCAAGTTAAATGTCTAGGCTAAAAGGTGCTTACTAATCTTCCTTGTATTAATTACAAAACGCTATTCACCGTGCATACACGCCCCTTCAGGGTACCTCTGCTGGCAATTAGCAAGCGTACTCTGAACAGCTAAGGAATTCTTTGAGATATTGAAGTGGACCTCCATGCTCCTGCCTCCAGAGTAGAAATGGATTGTGTGGCGAATACATTACCGCCGCTGTTCTTTTGATTTTAATACGACATTGACAATTAAAAAGTATAGCCGTGGAACTTTCTCTTTTCTCCTTGAGAGTCTCCTGTCCCTCTCAGGCATTACATGAGAGATATAAGAGCTTCTGTCAATTAAAAATCTGTGTGGCATACAGTCTAGGGGAGAGAGAAAGGCAAATCTGCAAAGAGTGCCTAATTGGTCTTTGGTGCAGAGCACAAACAGGGCCTTGAAAGTGGCGACGTAAAGCTGTAGACATAAGATGAAAGTTTATAAAGATGTGTCAAAGCTACCAATTGAAGGCAGGGTGACTCACTGACAGTGGGGATTATCACATTGAGCTTCTGCCGCTGGTGCTTCAACTTGGTCATGTCTCTGGTTTTCTTCTGTCTCTCTCTATGTGCTCATGATTGCAGGAAGCCTGTTTTATTTTTAGCTGCAGAAGAAGGGCAACATTTAACTGAGTACCATGGGTTTGGACCATGCTGATTCTTGGATGTCTATGTCCTCCTCTCCAATACCGTTACAGTCGTTCCTCTTTCTGACTGACTCCTCAGAAGTACTTTAGTACACTTTTAAAGACACAGAGGAATCCTTCAAAAGTCCTTTCAAAATTTCCTTTATGAGTCATACAAGTCTTTGAAGAATCTCATTAGTACATTTTTCATAATCTTCCAGAAGACAGACAGACAGACATAGGTTGTTTTTTTTGTATCACCTGTCTATATTGCCATGTAAGACTTCAAACTCTTTGATGTCTGTGATGACAGATGGGGACAGAGCAATAACCTGAAATGGAAATTTAGAACAGGAGGTTGTCTAACTCTCAATTGTGGAATAGTTGATTTATTTCTTATAAAGTGCTGTCTATGTCTCTTTAAAGCCCGTCATGATGGGATTATACTACACACTGTTTTTGTCTTTTGCAATGGTAATACTAGGCATCATCAGCTAGCAGTCCTTCTCATACATTTACAGTAGGTGATAGAGAAGGAGATGTAGGGATGACTTCCCTTTTCCATCTTACACCACTACACACAATTGTTCATGTATGTAAACATATATGATAGAAAGTAAATCCAGAACCATCCATCGTCCCTAGAAATGAGGGTGCATACATATAGTTTGCAGATGGGGATGGTTACAGGTTCAAAAACACATTTCTTATTTTTCTTTGCACAAACAATTATTTGTGTGGATCTTCCTAAAAGAGGACATAACAACGCTGACATCCTAGTCTTTTTTTGGGGGAAATCAAGATGAAGCCTATGCAATGTTTTCCTGGATTAAATGTCAATTACCTTACATTTACACACAACAATTAAACTGGCAATAAGGATGCCCTGTGTTTGTCCAGTCAGACCATTAGCTGGTTGATATTGTATAGTCTGATAACAGCAATGTTTTTGTCTCATTTTGTCAGTGTGACCAATTAGATGTTGGTTGTCTAATGACTGTTTACTGTAGGTAAGTATAGTTTTTAGTAGAGATCTAGGGGATGCTGCTCACACGATCCATTATGCTCTCTTGTGTGAAATTATTTAGCTGAGGTATCTCTCCACCGTATCTCGAATGAAATATTGATATTGCGATATCAATTTACACTTTGGCTTATTCTGCTGTGACATGCTGTTTGTGTATTCACCCGATCCTAGCCTTCTATTCATTTGGCCTCCGAGCAAGTCTATTGCCAAGGACACCAAGCTCTCCATTTATTTTGATTAAGCTCAGCAGCACCGTGACAGTATATGCAACACTTGAAGCTCTTCAGTCAACATGTTGAAAACGCATTCTTAGCCAAATGCCCTGTGTGTCATCGATGGCAGGAGCCAGCATGCACAGAGAAGCATTCCTTTGGACTCCTCACACATGGTCCTGATGACACTCATGAAAAGGGCAGTCATCTTTTGTTCTTGGGAGTATCGCTCCTATGAACCATCCCCTAATAGAATTCCCCAGCAGTCAATAAAATGGATGAATTATGCATGTCCGCCAGCAACAGGGAATTGACAGAGCATGTAAATCAACTTCCTTCCGAAGCCTCCAAGCCATCCGTCTCCTTGTCTTGTAGCCTTCATTTAAATATGATTGTGTATATTGCATTTACTTGTGTATAGAGAGAGATGCACGGGGTAGAGAATTTGTTTGCAATTGGACTATTATTGAACTGCAGTGTAACCTTCTCTCACATATGTCTTCCATACAAACACACACACACACAAATCACCTTATGCAAAAGGAATACATATACACACACACACACACACACACACACACACACACACACACACACACACACACACACACACACACACACACACACACACAGAATGGTAGATACACACACACAGGAACACTTCTGGCCATGGGAAGTGTTTTTCTCAGTGGGCTACCATGGGAACCACATAAAAAAAATGGCTTTAACCCTATTGTACATGCTACTCTATGTTTCACAGTAAGAGCGCAAAATGTAGCTGGGTTTCAATTCTAGGCTCTTACAGTTTTACCGATTAGGAAAACTGTATATCAGCGAACTAGATTTACTGTTAAAAATATGTTGCTTATCCTTTCAGAAACTATTTATTTTCCATAACTCTACTTACAATTGGTCTTGGGCATATGTTTTAAGTTCCTATTTGAGTTTATATTAAGTGATTTGTATTTTAGAGTACGGTACATAAGGTATGTTTTGTTACTGCTAATCAGTGTTGTGCTAGTTACTGAAAACCAGTAACTAGTTACCATTACTAGTTACTTCATTTCAAAAGTAACTCAGTTACTTTACTGATTACTTACACCAAAAAGTATGCGTTACTGTGAACAGTACGCATTATTTACTTAAAAAAAGTTACTTAAAAAAAGGGCTCCCATTAATGCCCTTATAGCCTTCATTTTATTATCCAGAATTACTGTAAACTTTTGAATAAAGTAGTTAATCTACTATTAGTAGTTTGTTTAAATACATTAATTATGTTTTTTTCATTAACATAAAATAAATCTCACGTACCCTCTGCAGTACTCCAACGTACCCCTAGGGGTCCGCGTACCCCCATTTGAGAACCACTGTTCTACAACATACCGTGCAATGGCTTTATCAACTTTTCCCTGGCTAGCAGTCCCTCGGTTCAAATCCAGCCGCTGTTGGTTAGGTGGAGGTGGAGTGGCGTCTGTGGTCTTAGCTACTAGCTTCGTCCCAGCATGTTGTTTCTGCAGATGTTTCAACAGATTTGAATTGCTGTTTTGAGCAGTAGATAGGATCTTTGACCCGCCAAGGCACAACTTAAAA